GGATCAGACTTTCTTTGACACAGACATTGTAGAAGACGTGGTTTGTTTTGATGATTTGCTGAAAACCATTTTCCTTCCTACAGTTTTAGACAACATGCAAGATTTACCCAAGATTAATTCCACTGAAGGTTTTTATGACGATGATTTTACAAACTAAAACAAAGATGAAAGTAAATTTTACACAGGTTTGGTATTTCACTTTAAGTGCCTACTTGGATCTCGGTTCTTGCACATATTTCATTTTTATACTTGTTCTGAATATGTATGTCCTGATCATTGGTTGTAATGTTGTTCTGATTGTGGTTATCTGCATGAACAGGAGTTTACATGAACCTATGTACATGTTTCTGTGCAGCCTGTTTGTAAATGAACTGTATGGTAGTACAGGCTTGTTTCCATTCCTGCTGATCCAGATTCTGTCAGAYGTTCACACTGTTTCTGCTCCGCTCTGTTTCCTGCAGGTCTTCTGTCTGTATTCATATGGAAGTGTGGAGTTTTTAACTCTAGCTGTCATGTCTTATGACAGATATGTCGCCATTTGTTTTCCTCTGCAGTATAACACTGTGATGACGTCTAAAAAGACCGTTAGACTTGTTGTTATCATGTGGTTTTACCCTTTTTTCAGTATTGCCATTCTCTTATCATTAAGTGTAGGTTTGCCACTGTGTGGCAACATCATCAACAAGATTTATTGTCATAACTCCTCCATCATGAAGTTGTCATGCTTTAATGTTACATTTAATAATGTTTATGGAATTGTTAATGCATTTTTCTTATTATTTTTTCCTGCAGTCCTGATATTTTACACCTACATTAGCATCATCAAGGTGTGTTTCTCTGGATCCAAACAGACCCGACAGAAAGCTGTCAGTACCTGCACTCCTCACCTGGTTTCTCTGCTGAATTTCTCTTTTGGTTCTTTCTTGGAGGTTTTAGAAAGCAGGTTGAATATGAGCAGTTTTCCCAACATGCTTCAGGTCGTGGGACAGTCTTCACTGGTTTATATAATCTCCTGTCAAACTCTGTTTAACCCACTTTTATACGGACTGAAAATGACTAAAATACGTAGAATCTTGCTGTTAAAATTCTACCTTTCCATTAATCCAAGTTCAGAGAAAGTCTAAGATTAACCATAGTTTAATAATGTGTGTTAATAAATAACTGTAATCTTAAGTGAATTAGAAGAAAAACAGTTCCTTGTTYTTGAGATGTAGACAATCTGCAGTTGGGTCGCACACCCGAGTGTTTCAAACATACAGCTGCAGATCAGATGACATGAYTACAAAGTCAAACATTGATCTACAACCTATAGTGTCCTGGTGCCACATGCACTTCTGGACACCCTTATGTTGGAACATGGTTTTTGTGATGGACAAACTGTGACTAGCAGTCCAACAACAGAACASCACTCAGGTCCAGATCAGAGAGGCTGTAGAGCACAATGGTTCAGTGGTTAGCACTGTTGCCTCACAGCAAGAATGACCTGGATTTCATCCCCAGATTAGACTTGGATCTTTCTCTGTGGGGTATTCATGTTCTCATCACACTGTCATGAGTTTTCTACGAGTACTCTGATTTTCTCCCACAGTCTACCCTCTTACCTRGGGAAAACTCCAACATACAGGCACTAAGTAGGGGGTCCAAAAGTAGACCAACACCAGCCTGGTGCCTCTCACCATGGGCAATGCCAGAGGTCCAGCCTCTTTTGAGGAAATCAGTTTCAGAACCCATTGTGTGCATTGGTTAGACCAACTAAATTTAGTCGGTACCTTTCAACCTCACGCAGAAGTTCAGGCTCCTTCCTGACCAGGGAGGTTCACAAGAGCCATCTTTGGTAGGCCAGGATCATAGATGTGAGGCCCCTGCCTTCAGGTGGTGGGTCCACAGAAAGAAAAACCCATGTAACTCATTCAGGCTGAGCCAAAAAAGCCCAACATCATTTTTCATAACACATGCATRGTTCAATGGGTTAACTGCACCATACCCAGCTCTCTGACCATACARTGATGTCATCAAGACTTTATTGTGCAGAATGGACAATAATCTGTTTACTGATGAGCTCTCTAAGAGCAACACAGAGATCTGTACTTTCTGGTGATCTTATTGAAATCCCTTTTATGGGTCCGATCAAGGGTCAGACCCACAGCAGAAGAATTTTACCTGAATAAACAGGAGAAATGATGAGACGAGAGGCAGTGACCTTCAATCAATGCAGCCTCACTTCAGTGTGTTTAATGACATGTTGTGATGATTACACCTACACTTCCTGTAACAAACTTTATTATAAGGAAATTTACGGGGTCCTCTGTTTAAGGAAATAACTTCTCTGTGTAAATATGAGACCACACAAATAAGTCAGACTTTAGTCAGTGAATTCAAGTTGATCTGACCATAAACAAGATAATTTATTTATAGAATCGAAATAAATCAGTAATATACAACTTGTTGTGAACAATCAAATTTTGTTGAGTTAAAACATCAACAACAACCAGTACGYGTCCGCACTAATTAACTGTGGATATGACAACTTTAACAGAAACAGCAGAACTTCAGGTTTAAGGTCTTAATAAACCAGATGTTTGCAGGTACGTTAAACTTATATGGCAACGTTTAAGAGATAGAAGGAATGTTAGCCGTAACCTTTTCTTATCAATATGTGAGAAAAACCAGAACGAACACTTGCGTCTCTAAGTCGCGTCAGCCRGACGCTGGTACGCTTATCAAAACATTCAGCTTCTACCTGGAGGTGTGGACGGTCGGGTTAAGTGTTTAGGAAGTTTCACCCAGATCAGCAAGAAACTCCGGTCAGGTTCCGTACTGCCAGTAAAACTTCCAGAATTTTCATTTTCCAGCGTCTCCGAAATCTGCTTTAGTCTGAAGGAGAGAGTCAAGTCCAATTTGGTCTTCTCTTCAAAATAAAAGACTTCTCATCAGAAGTGTTAATACAAAACTGAATGGAGCTTCAAAGCTGGTTATTTTGGTCACGATTAGTGGTATCATGAACCTATGGCAAAAGATTTGCTCATTAGTGCTTGAGTCAGATCTGATTGCTGAATGCTGATTTTCCTGAGGAGGAAAAACGGCTTCTTTTCGTTTGTATTTGAAACCAAAAACAAACCTTACCTGTTTGGTCTCTTACAACAAATGAAATCTTAGAACCCATAGTTAGGCTCTACAACAGGGCCTACANGATGGATGGATGGATGGATGGAATTTGTTTTTTGTCGTTTTGAATCCACAAAATACTTTTTTGGGGCCAGCACTGATTGGCCAAGCAATCTCACATGATCCTCTGCAGCAACTGATGGCCAAGCGGGGCATGTCATCATGACTTGACACAAGTGTGTCTTTACCTTCACGACAGAGGCTCCACCGAACCCCTGAGACCGGCTCATCGAACCCCTAGGGTTCGATCGAACCCAGGTTAAGAACCACTGTATTGGAGTATACTTCAGTGTCGGTAGTCCTGGTGATGTGCTCTGTGTTGATATAACACCAACATTTTTCTACTCACCAGTTACTCCACAAGGATGGACATTTAGGAATATGAAAGTTGTTGCTGGGAGTTTCATTCAAACTGTACTTGAGAAAACAAGATCCAGAGAAACAGCCAGAGAGGGCAGATGAACAGAGAGCATCGACAAGAAAAAGAAGTTGGTGGTTGAGACCATGAACAGATATAGACAGTGGCTGAAATTCAGCCATTGCTAAAGAGCTTTGATGAGATGTAGGTCCCCAAAAGTTTGAAGTGGGGGACCCTCTCCACAATGTTGCCATTAATGTAGAGTGGTGCAGGAGCAGCCTTGCTCCTCTTATATTCTAAGACCATCTCCTTGGTTTTGAGGGCATTGAGTGACAAGTTGTTTCTAGCACACCACACTGCCAATTGTTGCACCTCATTCCTGAATGCTGACTTGTCTCAGCAAAATAGTGTCAACTGCATATTTGATGATGTGTTGGTTTAGTGAGAGGGGGTGCAGTCATGGGTGTAGATGGCAAATAGAAGGGCTCAGCACACAGCCCTGGGGGAAGCCAGTGTTTAGCATCAGGGTGGAGGATCACCAATCCTTACAGATTGAGGACAATGTGTAAGAAAGTCCTTAATCTAGGCGTAAGTTGTGGAAGGGAAGTCCAGGGCAGCCAGTTTTACCACCAGGATGTCGACAGATGGTATTTAAGGCCAAGCTAAAATCAACAAAAGAGCATTTGGACATATAGGTTTCAGGAAGTTCTAGTTTGTTCAGAGTAGTGGAGGGCAGTGGAGATAGCATCAGTAATGAATCTGTTAGCTCTGTATGCTTATTGATGAGGAGCAAAGGAAGGGAGAGGCAGTCCTTGATGGGCTGTGGCACCAGTCTCTCAAGACATTTAGCGACCATTGGTGCTAGTGCTTATTGGCCTGTAGTCTTTGAGGCAGTTGGCAGTTGAGCTTTTTTGGAAACACATTGCTTAAATTTTATACCATTTTAGTCCTTTTACATTCACTCAAATTGGCCCAGTGCAGGTTCAGTGTCCACATGTTAGGTGGTCCCAGGAGCTGATCAACCAAGGTTCCAAGTGAGCCAAGTTGAAGATTCATTGTCACCTGACTGATTGGCCAGAGAGTTACAGTAATCATGAGAACATCTCCTTCATGTCAGGATTCAAACGGAGCTAACAGACCAAATTGACTTAATTTACACCAGCAGAGGGAAAACGTAGCCTCAATTCAACCACAGTATTTTTAGAAATGGTGGCAGAGAATGTTGAATTTATTTCTCTTTTATTTACTCATTGGTGCTAATTTGTAGGTGGCTCGCTTACACCTAAATGTTTAACTATTGAGACCGTATGTGATAGAGTTAGGTCAAATTAGAGTAAATTGAGCCATGCTTAGGCTAAACTGCACTAATTTCTTTCCAGTTTACCAACTTAAAACTTCTAATTATGCCACTAGACTAGACAAAATAAAAAAGTAGTGTAACAGAATCAACTAGGCCACATGCCACAAATTAGTCTGGCTATTAAAACAAAAGGTTTTCCCCAAATAAACAAAGACATAAATGCTGTAACAGTCTGTATTTTAACAGTACTTGAAGCACACACAGTGATAGTTGTAAGCAATTTATTGTAAATATTYGACATGAAAAGTTTAAAAAGTAAAAAAAATATATAAATTTTATACAGGACAACCTGGGGGAAGCCTTGTTCAAACAGGTGGATGTAAAAGTAGATATTTTAGCATTTGTCATTAAGTCCAGTCACTTTAAATTCAGATTTTTTTTTACTTCCTGTAATCTACTTTTTGTCCTTTTAATAGATTTCAGACATCATTGACAATGACTAAACTTCAAATAACAAGTGTGACGCAAGTGTAGCATATTCTTATAATTGCTAATATAAATCATTAGGCCAGTATCAGGAGTTCCAAGTTCGCCTCAGGGAGAAAGTTAGATTTGTGCTTAATAAAGACAGAGACAATGTTCAAGTGCAACAGGGTGAGTTATATTGAAATTGTTTAACAAAAAAATAAATAATTACATATAAACAGTCGTGCACAAGAATAATGACAAGCAGTTCAATTATTTCAATGAACACAATTATATCCAAACGAAACAGTTGTTCAATGAAAGTTTATCAACCCAAGTATGGTTGTGGTTCCACAGTTTGTATAGCCCCACCAGGCTGTATTATTGTTCAGAGTTCGTTGGTGGGAAAAAAAAAAGAGTTTATCGCATATTGAGTCAGTGTATCTGGTTTTGTGTGGGGAAATTCAAGCTGCAGAGCATCCTACCACACTGGTGGAAGTTGCAGTTGGCTGCTTCTTCCAGGTTCAGGCTCGAGGCCTACTTGTAGCTCGCCACCCAAGATTGGGAAATAGGAACCTGGCCAGTTCCGGTTTTGATCAATTTCATAAGGCTCAGATTACATCAATGCCACATTGGTAGAGTACCTAAAACCTGCAGCAGCTCCACTCCTTCCCAGCTCCACACACACCTGATGCTAAACACTAGTGTGCAGCCATCTTAGCTCCAAATCTCACAGAAAGTCTTGTGGGAAAATCCCGTGGCAAGTCTCGCGAGATTTCATACTTAGTTTATGGACAGAAGGGAAAGGAGGGGAAACAGATATTTGCCTTAAAATTGACTGGGCTACACTTACATCATATATCAGTTTTACAGCATATATATCAGTTTTACAGCATATATATCTTACAGTATAAATATCTGTCTAACATCATATATCAGTTTTACAGCATATATATCTTACAGTATAAATATCTGTCTAACATCATATATCAGTTTTACAGCATATATCTCTTACAGCATATATATCTGTCTTACAGCATATATCAGTTTTACAGCATATATCTCTTACAGCATATATATC